GCCAGAAGATATGCCAGATAGAATGCCAGATAGAATGCCAGAAGATATGTCAGATAGAATGCCAGAAGATCTGCCAGTAAGAACATGTATACATGTCATGGTGGGGATCACACGAAGTAAAGTAATTTTGTGTTTTTTTAATTAACTTCTATTAAATCATATTTTGTTTTTCTTTATTGCATACATTTTATTGTGCAGTTTATCAAAGACCTTAGACCTCTACTTAAACTTTAGAATTTGGGGATCAATTTCTGGTGAATCTTTGCCATGGCCTTTGCAATGTTCACGTTCAAAGCTGAGGTTCTACTCCTTGGGAGATTCCAAGTTGTTCATGAATCTCCAAGTCTTGTGCCAAAACGCTCACTCGCTGGGTGGTAGCATCCTGGGTTTGCTGATTCGCTGTTTTTGTTTCTTACTGGGACGTCCACCAATGGTTGGAGAATCTATGATTATTTTAGGCATATGATTTTTTTCCTACCGAGGCCCTGAATATGCTTGATTTTCCCTCACTAGTCTCTATTTGTCTTTATTTTGTATAGGGGGACTCCAATAAGCAATTGGGTCATCTTAAGAAAATCCAAGGCATAGGAGGCCTCTTCGGAATCTTTCTATACACCTTGAACCCGGTGGCCCCTTTCATCTTCAGTTCCGTGCTGGCTTGCAGCTTGGTTGCGATCGCGATGCCCTTTTGATCATTATATGTGGTTATACTATCCAATATATTGCGGATATTTGGGGATTCTCTCAAACCCATCAGTTTGAGTGTTTCTCGTATCATGCCAGATATGTGACATGTGTTTACATATTTCCGCCCCAAAGGTTACTGTTGATGCATGCTACTCCATCGTCTTCTGTAGCTTCACATTTCCTGTGAATTTCACAGCTTGTGATGTTTTATTCTGTTCAATGTTTGGCAACTCAGGTGTGACTTTCCTGATATACACTGTCGGGTCTCTTGGCATCAAACAGGCTGAGAACATGTCCGGTGATGGTGGTTTCACATGTTTGTATTCCCTGCTTCACGCCCTTTTCCCCAGGCCTTGAGGACAGGTTTTGCCAGGCCAGGTTTCAAGCTTCGACAAGGTTTTCAGTAGGTTTTCAAGCAGTAGGGCTTCCAGCACTGTTCCCTAAGGTTTGCAGGTGCCACGTGGCAAAGGGTTCTGAAAGGTACGGGTTTCACAAAGGACGACCCAAGAACTTGAAAGATGGTAGGGCCACAGACAAGGTCTCAAGGTTGCCTGAGGGTGTTGCCAACGGATTACAAAAGAAGGGCCTTACTACGGATGACCCAGGCTGGCAGGAAATAGGTTTTGTATCATTACGTTTCCGTTCTATGAGCATGTCAAGATTTCTGAAGGGTGCGTGTCCAAGACAGGATTTTTATATAATTGTGAAGAGATGTAGGACCCACCAGCAGGCGAGGTACCAAAAGCTCCCAAGACAAGATTGGATCCTGAGCTTTCAAAAGAAGTTACTAAGACAATACAAGGTTCCTACAGAGAAGAGTAGCGCCAGAGTCTCGCAGTCTGAACAAGACATGCGTCGACAAGGGTCTGCCCAGAAGCTTTTGCTGAGAGCTTCTGAAAGTTTTTCGCAAAGGACGCAAAGTTCTGTGGATGAATTTGATCATGACATGTTGTTTTCTGTCACTGGAATGATGAGAATGGGATCCGGGGAATCATCCCACTTTTTGTTGGTCGTTGTCATACTGTCAGAACATGTTCAGGTTAGGGAACTCGCTAACAATTCAGCCAGTTAAGTATGATGTTTCCCTAGCTCAAGGTCGTGAACCGTGGGGTCCAGAAATACTGTTTTAGCAGAATGACTTTGAAAATCCCAAGGTCCGCTTAGATCCGGTTCTGGACTGAAGATCTGCAAGCTTGTAATGTGATCACTGATTATCACAGATCTTGAATGATTTGAATGACACTTTCGAATACTTTAGGTTCCTAACTGATCTTCTTTCCATGGCCGCACTTTCTGGATCAGAACTTCCAAAGTTTGCAAATCTGCAGGCGCTCCAGATTCCTAAACTGTAGTTCAAGTTCCCAGGCTTCCCAAATCAGGGTTTCCCGATGTGATGGGTTCCCCAGATTCCTGATTTCAATTCAGTTTCTGAGTTGTAGGTGAGGATGATTGAGGTTGCAGACTGCAGTGTTCCAAAAAGAAAAGTCAAGTCGTTCCCAAATGTTGCTCTCCTGTTGCGGACATTCTTTGGGCTCAAGGTTTGGCAAATATCTATGGAGGAATGAATCATCTCCAAGTAAAGAGATGGAACTGCTTGGTTTGATCCCAGCTTTCTACAGATGACCTGCTACATCTTGCTACCAAAATAAACATGCAATGATCTTACTCCATAAGTGTTCCATGACCATTGTATGGTTATCCAAACCACTGAGGTTCTGTGCTCGCCTGGGCTTTGGAGATGACATCGACACCGCGGAGGAGAAGCGTAGTCGTCGTTTGGGAAAACGGCGAGTGACTGATCTTCAGGGCGTCAGGGTTTCAACATATAAAAACCCAGCATAGATTGGTGGGGACATGATGGGGATTTATGATGATTTATGCGGATATAATAAAGGAGAGATACTGCAATACTGCGACCTCGCGTCGCGACGTCAAGAAGTGAATAGTAATTGTTAGTAGGGGCTTATTTTGCAACAATGATCCAAAATGACCTCACCGGTTGGCGAATTATTAGAAATCATATCGTGATATGTAGGATGTAAAGCTTATGGAAAACATTTAATAGAAAAACCCCGCCATTTGTATGGGGAGATACAAGCGGATATGATGGGATACAATCATTGGATATACATGGGATACATAACCCTTATGGGCAGTATAATTGCATGTGGGCATTTCTGAACATAGGGTACTAAGCCGACCACTCCGGGCATATGGGGATATAGTGGTCATTACATATCCTCAGTATACGTTTTTTCTTATTGGGTGATTCACCACTGGATTTGGGGTCATGTACAGTAATGTAGTGTAATGCAATGCAATATAATGTAATGTAATTCATGTAATGTAACGTCATGCATGTATGCATAATTATGTATATATATATACATACACAATATGTCAACTCCAGATTAATCAGCCCTGGTAGATTGACTCGGGGTTAGCCCGGAAAAAGTGATCATGTGCTACCATGCTGCTCCCCAATTCAATGGCCCAAGGGTTGAACAAAAGCCGGCTTTGACATTCATCCATAGTCATCCCGCGATATCATCATAGAACATCATTAAATTGGTTTGTTGGATCAACGTTTTTTGGGACCCTTTTCCAATATTGTTTGAATCCGCTTGAATGACCAGTTTGAAGAACATCAATGGTTGGTAAGAAAGAAACCCAGAAGATCTCATTATTCATTCTTCATTGATCCCCAGTTCCAGGTGAGCAGTTGGGCAGCTGCCGCGCGGAAGAGCATGGCCGAGGGCGACAAGGGCGAGTGAAACACTGGTTTTTTCCCAGTAATGCTAGGGGAAAAATTGCCGGAACCCCCCGGTTTTGTGCGGTGGAAAAGAACAAAAACCAGAGTTTTGTGCAGATTTTCCCTTACACCTGAAAAGAATCATCCATCAAATTTTAAATGTTTTCATTTTTATTTCAAATACAACTTGATTTCTTCAACCATAGTTGACTGGAATGATGATCCGGATTGACTGGCCGCGTGCTGAAGAACTAAACAGGAATAGGGGAGATCCAGCAGCAATGTGCAGAAATCGGATCCCAATGGAGATTGAATCCCCGGACGATTTTCGGCCCTCAAGGGGCTCAAGACATCGAGCTGCCAGCACAAAGTGCCTGTGGCAGCTGGGGCTATTCAGCGCCCAAATGGTTGTACCCTCTGCCAATCAAGATGACAACGGAAAATGACACATCCATACTGTAGTTTTACAATTTGAATGCCCATTCACAAGGGTTGCTCCAACCTACTAAGGTAAATGAGAGCCACAAGGGGGGTGCCCCCCATTCATCTGGGGTGTTGGGACTGTTTGATTACCAGAATTTTTGTTTCTGCTTTGGCCTCCAAGTTTAAGATCTGCGGCAGTGCGCCTCCCGCCAAGAGCCAGGATTCTTGGAGCAAAAGAGAGCGTTTGGACCAGCGGAACGCAAAAAGCTTCTCTTCGTACTTGGGTTTCTCTGGACATGTGGTACCCTGCGGGATCCTGCATTCCATGATCATCTTCCCTTTAAAATGGCGACTTGGGGGGTAGGGTTCTCGTTTATCTTTGGGGGTCTGGGGGTGGAGGTGTGTTCGCTTGAGGTTGCTTTGCCGACCGCAACCGTTCGCAACCGTTCTCAACCGTTCGAAATCGTTCGCAACCGTCCGCAACCGTCCGCAATGCAATGAATGAACAACAGATGGCCGTACCATTGGTGATTGCTTCAAAACCTGTCCTTCTTGCATGCTTTGAAAGACGCGGCATATTGTTTTGTGCAGAAGGCGTGGTGACATTCCGACGTGCTGGATAAAATGTCGAAAGTCATTTTGTGCGACAGGTGCGATACTTATGAACGGTTTTCATAACATGACTTTCAATTTTCCAGCACTTTGGTGTTGCGTGTTTTTTTGCAAATCGTTGGAAGTGTTGTGTCAAGTCGTGACAAAATCCAAATGTTAGGCGCAGCACACCGTGAGAATGAGAATGTCATTTTTTTGTGGGAAGTGCAGGGCTTGGTGAAGTTCCTTGGCGCGTGGGATGTCACTTCTCTCGGCAAGCACAGCACTTTGGCTCTGAGTGAATTGAGCCTTCTTCCAGCCATGCATGCTGGATTCTTCCCTGAGTTACGATTGCACATTCCCGCTCCAACTCCCCAACGTTTGATGATGAATCTGATATATTAACGGCGTTTCTTTGGAAAATCGCTAGTGGTGAAATTATGCGATTTGGGCGCGTGCATATATGAAACCAATTTCCATGGAAATTTAGATGAAACTAATGCCCGTTATATCTGTAAGACTGTAATGTTTATGTCTTGGCTTGACA